CCGGCTGCTGAGAGAAAAAAGCAGACATACACAACGATTAGGCAAAGAAAAGGGTTGCAGCATACATTTGATACGATTGGTGAACAGGCTCAGGCAACTCACAGCTATCGTTGAGGTTCTTTGTGACAATCTCTCGTACTCGTGCTGGCAGACATGTAGGGGGTGCGTCTGGTGAAGGGCCCCGGACGGTTAGCCTCTTCTCCTCAGACAAAACACTCTCTTCCAGCCTCTGATGTACAAAGACACAGACATTTGATGTTTTACATTTCACTCAAAGAGAAAAGCAAATATTGATAGCCTATAGTTCCATATACATGCAGTGACAACAATGAAATGATCATGGTTCATTTCTAAGGTTTCAAAACATTCTGCCAAAAGACTGTAGTTAAAAATTTGCCAGCTATCTATCACTGGCACAGTCACAGTAATGTTGATTAATGTGTGTTGTCCTTATTAATAAATAAATAAAAATGAAAATAAACTGAAAGATGATGATGATGACGACTCTGAAAAGTGCCACAAGACCAGGTGGTGCCACAACAGTTATACCAATCCAAAACTGCAGCCTGATGAAAACACAGTGCTGTCCTCCAACACAAACAAGCACTCACATAAGCCAGCCGCTTTATTATGTCACATCACCAGTGCTGTATGTTTGATAAGCGATGGGGGAGATGAAGGAAGGCCAGGTGTACCTCACCTGTATCACAGACTCCAGTTTGTTGGTGTCCGTGTCTGAGTTTTCCGCGGCGCTCATCGCGGCGGCAGCAGATATTTAAAATCCCCCAGCGAATAGGATTAACTCCGAGTAAACTCTACGTCTTCACAGACTGAACTGTCGTCTTTTGCTCTCCAGCAGGTGCGATAAACGAAACGAAGTTCACAACCTGAAGCTGGTTTATTTGCTGCTGCTGGAGGCGAGAAAGTTTGGTCGCAGGGGAGCGGAGTGTGTCTGTCCAGTCGCCTCCTCCGGTGCAGGCAGGCAGAGATTGAGGACAGCAGGATTATACCAGGTTTTAAGATGCACTCCCCTCCACGTCCTCCACCTCCACTCTCACTACTCGCATTCACAACCCTCCAAACCACTATTCAGCTGCGCAACAATAAAGAGAAGCCGAAACAAAACGTAGCCCTACACCTGCAAGGATCAAATCTAAACATATTTTGACAAACCTTTTTTTTTAATGTTGCAAGGTAGAATTTATTTAATCGATTTTGAAAATAAAATTTTGAGTAGAGAAGTTCAGGGTCAAAACAAATCAGTACCAAGATTTTTAGCAGGTTTTCTGCGTGCAGTTTGTTGAAAGATGCTAAAGGTTATTGCAGTTATCAGCATAACTTGCATCAAATGAATAGGCTACCAGATAGGTGAGGGCGTTGCTAGTAACGTTACTGCCAATCTCACTGAGAATCAAGGCCCTCTTTGTTTAGCTGTCCAGTCTGCAACTTTACTGTTTTGGTTCAATTTACATAAATCAGTTAATCAAATTACCACACAATTCCTACAATCTAGGGGTCCCTGAGGTTGCTGGGGCAGTTTCCCGCTTAGCCTAGTTTAGGGCTGGGCAATATGTCCAAAAATGTTTTCATGATAATAGATTTTATATCATTTGATAGATAATTATCACAATAAAAGTCAAATCATTATTTCTTTCATGTTTAAAGGCTGATTTTTGCTACTGAGTGAAAGTTAAAGAAACCAGATGGTTAATTGTGGTTTCAACCTTAAACTTTTCTTTATGGTCAGAACATGACAAACATTTGATGCCAAACAGTGGATCACTTAACAAATCTGAGGTAGAACATTCAAAACAATTATAATTAAAAAAATTTTTCAACAAATATGCATGAGTAAAAATTCAGTCCCTTTTGCCTCAACAAAATAAATATTTTAATAGAAGTGCAAATTTGTTTGTGATTCAAATGAAATAAATCAAACATTTATTGAACATTTATTATATTGTTATTGAGGAAAAACAGTTGATCGATTAATCAGTTAGTTGACACAAAATTAGTTTCCAACTATTATATTCAGTAGATAATTTTTTTCTATAAGAAAATAGATTTACTTTTGTTATAATAACTTAAATATATTTGGCTTCAGACATATTGTATATAAAGATGGACGACTCGTCTCTACTTCCCCCCACTGTACCAAAAATCAGATCAGGTTCGAGGTCCTGACTCAGCTGTCAATCATGACATGAACCCCCTTTTTATTGCATCAAATAACTAATTAAAACCAAACTTCAGAAAAATGAACACATAACAGAAATCCTTGTGAAAAATGTCTATTTATTTTGATTTTTTTGTTTGGTCCATGTAGCATCAGCTAACATGGAGGGGGCCTAAACTGCAGCCAGCTAACAGGGGCGATCGAGATTTTTTGGCTTTACTTTTGGGGACCTGTCATGTTGTCTTATACAGTCTATGTTTTTGAGTGTTAAATGTTATTCTTCATTATTGTCTAATAGAGAAAATAGACTGCAGAGTAATCGTTTGCTGCAGCCCTAAAAATGTGTTGTGTCTTTAACATAATGTTGTTCAAGCACAGCGAGTAACAGAGGCACTCAGTAATTTCTGATTGGAGGAAAGATGTTACAGCTGGCCCCGTTCTCCCCTAAAATTAAAACATTGACCTTGCAGCATGTTAAACATGTATCAGAATAATCCCATAGTTGCCTAACGCCTGAGGAGAGTTAAAAACACAGACATGTCTTTAAATCTCTGACTCTAATTTGATGTTGTAAAACATTTTTGAGGTTAAATGTTAATCTTATTTTTATATAATAATACATGGAAACCTTAGCAAATTCAGAACTATAAGGTTATTCAAAAGGAGTCTGTAGACATGTGAATATAAAACTATGTCACAAGTGTTTGGTGTTTGGATTGTCATAGTTACAGACAACAGGATCATTGTGTGAATACCAGTACAGACCCCCAGCCCAGCGTTATCCCCCCCCCCCCCCCCCCTTCTCAGGGTAAATAAATAGTAAATAAAGAGCACACACACTCCCACACAAAGCAACTATAATTTTAACCACAAACTGCTACTGATGTTTGGTTTGAAGAAAGCTGACCATGTCAGAAAAAATGTTAATATTGTCACTTCTCACATAATGTTTATAGTAATAATGAATTAGATGAGATGCTGTCAATTTTGGGGTCTCCTTTAATTGTCCAAAAAAAACCTGCTTTGTGATAATTACTAAGGAACTGCTGGACTTTTATGTTATATATGTTATGTGACCTGCCTGCATGAATTAATCATGACCATAAAACCTTTTAGTTGCTTAACTTCTGTGGCGCCCCCAACTGGCCTGCTAGTAGATGACTGCACTGATTTCAATGTGCAAGATGTGAGCTTTGATGAAATACACACCTGTTGATCTTTCATCTCTACAACCAAACCATAGTTAAGCCCAAACTCATGACTTCTCACTCCAGCTTGATTACAACCTGCGTATTCAGCCATAAATGGAGGAATCAGCTTCAGCTGCTTCCTCTTCATACTTTAACACCTCACATAAAAGGAACAGTGTTTGTAATCTATCTCCAACATCCTCTTTATTTTAACACACCAAACTACATAATTAAAAATGCATCCCCATAACGGACACGCCTAAGTTTTCAAAAGTGTCTGTGAGGAGTTGGAGGCGGGAGGAGGAGGAAGAACGAGGAAAAGAGGTTGTACATTAAACTGTGCAGCATCCGAGCGACTAACACGGATCATGAATTAAGACTTTGTTTTACAGCAGCAGAGACTGACATTTAAACACAAACGCGCTGCTGCGAAACAACAGCCTGGATATAACACGCTATATGTAGCGAGATCCACACTGTAATGTGCGTAACATCCACTTCCGTCTGATTATAGCCTCACCTCGACAGATGACTGTTATCCTGCCGTCCCTTCATTCTCCTGAGCAGGCTGTAAGATCATAGAGGCAGAAACAAGCGACATCCCAGCAGTTATACATTTACCACCAGCTGCTTTCAGGGTTGCCTTGTTCCGAAATCTTCTCCATGCTTTTTCCGGGGAGGGACTTCCAGTTCACCCAGCCTGTCTATAAACAGCAATCTGGATGGTCTACTGTTGTGTGATCGCACGCATCTCATTTAACATTTTCACTTAAATCCACCAACAAACATTTATTTTTCTTGTTTCAGAATAATCCAAAAATACAGCCGAATAAATAAAAACATGTCCCGATAATACAAAAAAGTCCCGTTATGACTATTGCTTTTAGAAATAATTTCACTGAAGCAAAAGCAATAATTTCATATCATAGATCCCAGAATTCCTGTAGAAAATGTCTAAATGCTCTAATTTTCCTTTTAAACTTTCGCAGCCTAACTTACTCCATGGCAAGTTTTCTTTGACATAGTGACTTATTCCTTCTCTTCCATTAAAATAACCACAGCAAACATCTTAACTGTAAAAACAATGATTACAACTGGTAAACAGTAATTAAATCTGTTTTCGTTTCCCATTGTCACAAAATCATTCCGCAGGCAGAAGAACCAGATAAACCCTTTAACTGCTTGAGTTACTTTTAAAGAATTTGAAATACTGTTGAATACGTTGTAAACTCAATAAAACCAGAACTACATTGCCTACAAATGGGATTTATTTAAAACAAAAATCATTTCTGGCGTTTCAAAAGATGGAAGTAGCTATGCAACTCTTTAATGTTGAATTGACCATCAACTCCAGCAGGTTAATAAAATAACGTAATAAGGACAATTGGGCAAGTTTCTTAAGTTCAATATATATCTAACTTAGAAATAAACACTGATTAGTCATTAAAACCAATCTTGTTTCAAAAAACAATGAACAACTTACTGAAAGCTCTCCTTGTATTACAAACAATTTTCTGCAATACCAAAAGCTTGAAATTGGTCCAATAATCTGAGAACATACTGCAGCTGTGAAAGGGAGAACTGTCTCTACAATCTCACAAGCTAATACTTTACTAATAAGAATCAGAACAAGAGCCATTGAAATATATTGTTTATTTACAACAAGACAAAGGTTTACATTTTGAGATATTTTTCAGAAAGGCACTTAATCAAATACTCAATCAAATTAGCAACAACATGAAGGAAATTTCTATTTGGTAAAAGGCACATGGAAAAAAAAAACACATACAGGAAGAAAAGACAAAAGAAGGGCATACACAAAGACAAACATGAACAAACCAACAAAGTATGATTTTAATGACAGACAAATGGCAAGCAGGAATTTTCCCCCAACAAGGTGATTTAAAAAAAAAAAATCTGGATAATTTTTTATGAAAGAGGTTTGATGTAAAACTAATCAAATATCAATATTGCTTTGCAAGATCTCCTAAAACAAAAACTAAGAAACAGAAGAACCACACATATTGGTATTCAGCTGAACAAAACATGGATACTTTAAAAGGTAAAACAACTTTCCCAAATGGTAAAAACAACCATGAGATGAGAGGTGCTGGTGTAATGAGAACATGTGCATGATGTTGGAACAGAGGGACACAATTAGATCTGATTTCTGGACAGATTAACAGAGAAAAAGAAAAGGCCCCACTGCATAGCATAGTGTCGAGAAAAAAATAATGATTGTAAAAAATATGTACATTTTACTGTTTGTTCCTCCAGAGTGTGTTGGTCAGCGGGCCATACTTTATGTGAACATATTCTTTTACAGAACAGGTGCAGTGAATGAACCAGTCAAGTTTGCTAACAGTTCGTCTCTTAAGTTTCTTTTTGCCAAATATCGTTCCTGTCCGTGGAATGTGTGGACCCTGAGTGTGTGCACGTTTTCTCACGACTCAACTAAACTGCACCCATCCTGATTTTACAGCATCTTTACTGGAGCTGTGGAGGAGACGAGAGAGATGATGGTGACGTGTGAAAGAATTCAAAAACAATCATGTAGAACAAATGTGAAAGGATGGACACGGTGGATTACTACACAGACAAAAATGCAGGTGACTCCTTTTTTGTTTGTTGTGAAACTTACTTGGAACCTGCTGATGTGAAATCTCCCCACATGTCAGAGCTGGGCTGGGCTGCAGGGACGAAAGACCCAAAGTCTAAAATAGAGGCTGGACGTGGAGGAAACAACAATTACAGAAAGCATGAATTACACTTTAAACCATGTGACGATGTTTAAAAATGTGATTTGATACAATAGCACTCTGATCACCAGTATTAGTCGGCACAGCTGAGACTGTTGGTTCTGCCCCAGGAGGGGGTATGACACCTCCAGCCTTTGCACCTGGTGGAGGCGGGAGTAGACCCCCCCCCATTGGCCGCACTTTGGCACCGCCTGCTTCCTTCTTCTTGATGTTCTGTGATGGAGTCATGACAGTTTCTGAGTTTCTTTTCTTCATAAAATTTGTCCTCTTTATTTATTCATTTATTATTTCATCATTTCAATAATTCCTTTGCATCTGTAATGTTGGGACTAAAGGCTCACCCCAATGCTGATCTTGATAGTCTGCCCCTCTTTGAAGCTGAGGTCCAGCTTAGGCGCTACGATGTCCGAAGCTTCCTGTTTGGCAAGCTCACCTTCTTGCTTCACCCACCTTTAGAAAGAGAGTTTTGAGTGTATAATAATTATCTGCGTCAACTGGGAGCAGTTTAGTTTAGTTTTAAAACTGGGTCAAATACAAAATCACATTTAACAGAGGTTAATGGTCAAACATTTTTACATGCTGCTACTTTTATAAGTGTTGTAACAAACTTTATCTAATGAGGTCTCATTCCTGTGGAATGAGTATGGACTTATTTTACACTCACTTACACCAAAAACAAATTATATGCATGATGGACAAATGTGCACTATGGTCTACCCAGAAGGCAATGTGCAACTAAAAATCCTGTCACAATATCACTTATAAAAACAAGATCTGTCTAGAAATGTGCATCAGGGGCCTCATTACAGAAACGTCCCACTCTAAGCCTAAGATCTTATCTCAGGTTATGACAACATTTTGGATTTTTGGTTTACAGAAAGATGTTTTATAACTGAATTGAATAAATCCTATCTTGTCTCTTAGGATAGGAATTTAGCTATTACAGAAGAAGTTAGGAAGTCAGGATGGTATAGACCCTGTCCTAACTATAAATAACTGCCAAAAATGGCAGCACCACTGTTGTTAGGTCTGTATGGCAATGACGATAGGGAACAACATGAACACCAAAAAATTATGATTAAAAAAAGCTAATCAAACTTTATGATGACACTTTAAATTTCCCAACCCATGTATTAATGAGTATATATCGACTGCCAAGTCAATTTTGAATTTGATCGATTTCCCGTTCTAGTTAGGATTTCTTAAGTGAAGATACGAGGTCTGACATAGGACAGGAAGCAGCCGTGAGTATAGAAATTACTTCTGTAATAGGATACAATTTTTCCTTTCTTTGAAACTTAAGCTAAGATAGGACAAGCTTCTGTAATATAACCAGATAGTAAAAATAAAGCTCTTTAAGAGAAGCTAACTTACTTAAAGTGGTCTTGTAAAGCTACGTTGAAGTCAAATGAGTCTCCACGATCAGCAAAACCCAGACCGATGAATGCATGACGTCCTTTATAAAAGCAATAAAAACAAATACACATTATGCACCACATAATAAAACATACATATTCCTGCAGGAAGATACAGACAGTGGAGGGGATAGTATAGGCCTAAGTTAAATGACAACTACGACTTCGCAATGCGTCATCCATCCATCATCTATAACTACTTATTCATAGGGGGTCGCAGGGGGCTGGAGGCGATCCCAGCTAACACCAGGCCACGTCACTTTAAAGATCATGGTGATCAATGAAAATAAAGTTTTTAAAATGTAAAAACAGACAAAATCTTCCCATCATTCAGGGGAAAGGCTAATGCTTGATCCCACAGAAACATTTAGAATAAAATAAATACTAGAGTTCTTAAATCAAATGCCAAATTTAGATTTAAATTAGATTTTTTCCACACATACGAAATTTCATATCAATGTGACATTATATTAAATGTGTGTTTAGTAGCATATCCCCCTACTTTCTTTTATTCTGTTTCTTATTCTTAGTCTCTGATGACTTACCATTTCCATCCTCTATCCGGATCACGAAATACCTGCTGGAGTCTGTGACGGCTTCAACTACACACCCTGGATACTGCTCGACTGGAGCTTGGGCAAACAACTCTCCTGCAAACAACAAATTTACACCAGATGGTGCCTTAGGGTTATTTTCTGAGCTGTAAGTAATCAAGTAAAAAGGTTGGCTGAAAAGGACAAACTAAGATCGCAAGGTTGTTGACAGGCGCTTTGATCACACTGTGACAAATGTGTGATGCTGTACATGTTTTCTTCATGTTCTCTATGATAAATGTGACTGGAATTGTATAATTTGCAGGGATTAGTTTGAATACTCACCTTTACAACTACAACCCAAAACAAACCAACCATTTGTAACGAGCCTTGATTACATTGTTAATATGAAGCAAGCAAGGCCAGGAACCTGCTGTGTAAATACATATTACTGTTGGCAGCCGTGACTATTCCTGAGTTTTGAGCACATGGCAATTATTTTTCTGTTTGCTGTCATCTTCCATAAAGACACAAACACTACACACACTGGATCAAATATGAAGGTAAATCCCACAAACTGATGAAACAGAGTACATAAAGATGTTTGAGTATAATCGGAGGATCTTACCAAACTTGTCACCTTTTACTAGTAAAGCAGCAGGGTGGCTTTCGTTCCCTTTATCCCTTTATACTACAGCAGTCCTTAGGCTGTGAACCAGGTGTTTCAAGTCTCAGCACACTTTTTAACCACCATCGGGTGCCAACTAAATGCGAACACATTTGATCCATGTAGCTCTCACAAAGCTAATCATGCCAACTGACTAATAAAAAAGGATCTATTTTCAGTGCTTCTAAAAACAGAGCAGACAAGACAATGAGGCAGTCTCGTGGCTCAAGTGGCGAGGATTTCTTTTTGGATACACCACTTAAGTCCGCTCTAAAATTCAAAGGAACTGATAGCTCACTTTAAACAGTTAGTGCTTTACTAATACTTGGTGCTCTGGTGATTACGGATGAAGAGATTCACTGGAAAAGTGAGTCCGTTCTTATTGTGCAGAGGTAAAAGATTGTGTAAAGTTAACTGTAAAGCAGATTATCTTGTGACATTAGTTTAGAGACAAAGAATTCATGTGGTGGGTTATGTACACACTGACACACGCACTGCAAGCAGATGTCACAGTTTGTTCACCTGTGTTTCTGTCCTCTAACTTAATGTAGGCCATCTTGTCTTTAGCGGTGATTTTCATCCTACCGCTCCATGCAGGTTCATCCAGCTTCCAGTCAGCAGCACTAGAAAAACAGGAAACACCCATCTAAATAAGTAAATGGTTTGTCTCATCCTCATTCGTTGAAACAGCTGCCTTTGAGCACTGTTATTACACAGGCAGCTGTGGCTTTTCAGCGCAGGAGGAAGTGAAATTAAAAGTTTTCAGGAAGACTAAAATGAGGCATTTGTGTAAACAGGGGTGTCTTATGTTCTGCTGGCAACTGAGGAAAAGCAACTGTACAAAAGGACGGCCAAAACAGCTTTAGAAAGTAGTGCTTAATTGAAAAAACAAAACCACCTCTATATTGTGCATCAATTTGACGGATCGGCTCCTATTGGGTGGGCTGGAGTAATTTAAAATATCACAATATGACCCCAAGGTCCACCTGGGAACGTTTTCCAGGGCTTTCAAACATATCTCACGGCCTTCTACTTTTGTCATTACATCTGAGCAAATCCAAGCCGCGGAGGAAGACCGTTAGATACGGTTGAAAGTCCAGAAAAGCCAGTGAGTGGCCCTTGAGTGAACTACTAAAAGACAGTTTTCTCAACAGGCTGCTATAGACAGTGATAACCTGCTGTGATAGGTGACGGCTCCTGGGCTTGTCACATTATAATGCGACTCAACTTGACAAAAACTAAATGTATGTCAGACCTGAGGCAGTCAGCATCAGGTAACGTTTCCCCTACGCAAATCTAGAAAATGTCAGATGTTTTCATAAATCGATCCCGATCATTTTGTCTGCAAAACAAACACACAACGCACATAACTAGTTAAGTTACAGTTTGACAGTAAGTTAGTTCATGCACTTATTAGTTAATTAATCAAAAAGCGAAATCTAACTTATGGACTCTTCGTGGGCACTTTGTTAACCGCTAGCATCTAAATTCGCCTAGTGCCTCCAGCCGTGTCATTACAAGCTTTCCAGGCTATAAAAATCATAAATGTCATAATTTATCCTATCGTTCAAAACAATACTTGACTTTTCAAGTAACAGCAGGTGTAAGTCACAGATAATGAACTGTTTGTTGACGGGATGATGGTGTCGGTTTTCTGTGAGCAGATAACTGTGACGAACTTGCGTTTCGAAAGAACGCTAACGTGCGCAGTTTAGCCACTAGCATGTGTAACCACCAGCTAGCTTGTGTCTATTTATCTAAATCTTTAGCGGTTACCTGCCCTGTGGGCTGTAACACGTCGGCTACATGTTAACGTTTGCAGGGAAACAGAAAAGTGACAAGCGTCCATCCTAACTGGTTGTCCGATAATGGATGCATCTGTTAAACTAGCTTGGTGAGCGACACATTTAGCTACAAACGTTACGTCTCTTTGAGGTCATCTTACCGATATCCACGGTTTGAAGCGCGCGGCGGGATCCTGTACACATGAACCTCGGGCTTCACGCAGAGCATTGACTCATAACTGTTGTCTTCTGCCATTTTGTCAAGTTTCACTAACTATCAAGGCAACTTCCGAACTTCAACAGACACCTCGGCTGCTGGAGATGAACCCGACGACTGGATCCAAAGAGCCGCGGTGCTCGATTCAAACAGCGCCGCACCCGGTCGGGATGGTTTGGGCACCTGGAAAAGGTTCTTCTTCTTCTTCTTCTTGTTTCCGGCAGACTAGACGCATCTGTGGCGTGTTGCTGCCCTCCTCTGGTCGCCATTCACATCTTAACGCTAATTGCCTATATACTTGTGTATAAACCAGTTTTATGTAGGTATTCGATCAGTTTCTTCATTTTGTTCCAACTATCTAAGTTAACTAGGGTGCGTATGCTAAATATAGTTTCTACAGTTGCTCCCAGGTCTCTAAACAATTTCCTCCTTTGGCGAGAGTATTTTCTACAAAGAACTAATACATGCTTCACCGTTTCCTTGTCTCCACATTCACATTTTCCATCAGGGTGTTTACCAGTCAGAGCCAGCCCACAGTGCCCAAATCTCAGTCTGGATAGAACTACTGCATCTTTTCTCTTACCTCTAAAAGCACATTTTCCTTTCTCTACAGTTCTTTGTACTGAATAATATGTTCTCCCCTTTCTTTCCTTTTCCCATGATTTTTGCCACATTTCTTTCACTGACCTATTTATTATTTCTGTGTAATCCGGTAACCCATATTGTAAATTAATTTGAACTCTTTCCTCCAGCACCGCCTTCTTTGCCACCACATCTGCTTCCTCATTACCCTCCACACTCATGTGCGCCGGTACCCACACAAACCCCACCTCATACCCTGCTTTGTGAATTCTATACAACACCTGCATAATTTCGGGTCTAGATTTCATTTTCGTATCTTTAATTGTAATCAGAGTTGCTGCTGAGTCGCTACATATAACTGAATATTCCTGTTTATTATCTTCGACCCACTTTAATGCCCATAGGATTGCCACCAGCTCTGCTGTGAAGACCGACATATGATCTGGAATTCTACATCCTTTTTTATAACCTATTTCTGGAATGCTTACACCAAAAGCCACTTTACCGCTCTCAGGATCCTTTGACCCATCAGTATAGATTTGTAGGTGGCCTCCCCATATTTGACACATCCGGGCTTTTATCGCCTTCACTACAGCCTCTGACATATTTCTTTTGCTTGTTTCCATAAAATATAAGTCAACATTGGGATCAGGAATCAACCATGAAGGTATATCTGGACGACATATTCGTGGACATACATTCAAATTCAAAATACCAATTTCCTCTGCCATAGATTTGAGTTTTTCTGTAAAGTTTGTTTTGATCCCTCTTGCTGTTCCCATGAACTCCCAATGTTGACTCAACAGGGTTTTTGTTGGTAGATTTTCATCCTGTCCTTTTAGTTTCATTATATACTTCAAAACGATTTTACGTCTTCTTATTTCTAATGGCATCTCCCCTGTTTCTATTAATAGTGCCGGAATTGGGGTTGTGCGAAACGCCCCACTGCACACTCTAAGGGCTTTTGCTTGGACTCTGTGAAGTTGGCTAATCACTGAAGGGGCTGCTGACCCATACACCACACAGCCATAATCCAAAGTTGATCTTATCATTGCTCTGTATATCATCATCATAGATTCACTGTCAGCTCCCACATTTCAAGGAAACCATCTCAATATGCTTCTTCCATGTCACCCTTTCATCTAACCACATTCCTAAAAATTTAAAATGTTTCACTCTTTCAATAGTCCTATTATAAATCTGTAACATCTGTGTAGGCATTTTCTTCTTATGTCCAAATATCATGCATTTAGTTTTTTCTGTAGATATAGATAGATAGAAGCCCCAGTCATTAGCCCATTCAGTTACTTTGTCCAATGCAGTTTGCGTTTGACCATAATATAGGAGATGTTCCTCCCTCGCTTCCAGATGGCCCCATCATCCGCAAACAATGAGAACTTGAATTCTTTCCTCACTCTACTAAACATACCATTGACTAGTATATTAAAGAGCACTGAGACTTATTACACTACCTTGAGGGGTTCCATTCTCTATCTCAAGCTCATCTGATAATTCACTTCCCACCCTCACCTGAATTGTCACATAAGAAGTTCTTAATCCAGTTAAACGTTCTTCCTCTGATTCCAGCGTCATGAAGTGCAATTAACAACCCCTCCTTCCAAAGCATATCATAGGCTTTTTCAATGTCCAAAAAAACTGCTACAACTGCTTCTTTATTTGCAATGGCTTTTTTAATGTCATTATCTAAATCTAATACAGCATCCATTGTTGATCGTCCTTGTCTGAATCCACTCTGATATTCCACAAAAAACCCGCTTTTCTCCAGTTTGTCCACTAGTCTGTCTGTTATCATGCGCTCCATTATTTTGCATAAAACAGAGGTTAATGCAATCAGTCTGTAAGAACCAGGGTTATCTGGTGGTTTTCCAGGTTTCACAATTGGAATGATTACTGCATGTTTCCACTCTTTAGGAAGACATCCACTCTCCCAACCTGGAAAAGGTTCACAAACAGGCAGACTTATGGTAGAAAACTTAGGTAGTTTTTATCAGAATCACAATTAGAATCAGCTTTATTGCCAGGTATGTGTACACACGCGAGGAATTTGACTCAGGACTGTACATTGCTCACACTATGCTTACTCATACAATAATACAATAATAAAATCTGACACAGGCTATAGTATAGAGGACACATATACACACTATAAACCAGTGGTTCTCAAACTTTTTCACGTCAAGGACCCCTAAACTGACACGTATTAGACCACGGGCCCCGTTCTATAAGATTTTGTCCCAGGGTCCTCCAACTGATAGAAATTTTGCTTTTAGAATCAGAAACAGTTTTATTGCCAAGTAGGTTAAAAGGGAATTTTCTGGTGACTTATATAAATATAAGGTAACAAATTGACAAGATATAAAAAATAGAAAGGAATCTTAAAGAATATGTAGGAATATGTTTGTGCAGTGATATGCAAAATATTGACAGTCTGTACTGAAAAGGGGTGGGGGTACGAGGGAATTTCTGAAACTGTTTGTGTCTGGGATGGGAGGGGTCGCCTCAGAGTCCTGGAGGCCTACAAGTCCTTGAGGGGTGGAAGATTGATTGGTATGTTTAATTGGTTTAGATTGGTAGATGTTTTATTACAGAAAGTGCATGAACCCATGACCGAAATAGTAATTGTGTTACTTATGGATGGAATTATAACTATTCACCTTTTTGCTGGGGACCCCAACAAAAACCACCTCAAGGACCCCTGGGGGTCCCCGGACCCCACTTTGAGAACCACTGCAATAAAAAAAACAAGATAGACAGATTGAGACAGTAGTGCAATGAGCATAGAGCAAAGGATGCAGGAGTAAATTATTATTACCATTATTATTATTATGTTCATGTCGGAGATGGATGAGTTGTCATCATTCCCTAAATATAACCCCTACAGACATTTATTAAAATCACCTGTGCGAACTGCAGTGTGTGATGCAGAAGGGTATTGTAAACGTCCTTGTAAATAATAAGTTCTTAAGTGTCCTGCCTGGTTAAATGGATACACATCGGGCCTACATATCTGTATGTGTCTCAATCTCTTAATTTATCAGCCTACTTTATATATTGGTAGTATGTTGTTTGATTAAATCAGCTGAAAACAAATCATTAATCATGCCTTACTGGAACAAATGTAAAGATGTTCTTGTCAGCCTTTTAAATGTTTATTTATTACTAGCATGATTTCAGACTTACACCATTGCAGTTTGAAAGGTCTGCGAGAGCCCTCAAGCACTTTATGATTTTAAATGACTTTCCTCAACCTGTTGTAGCATGTGACCCCAATTTCTAAATCCCAAACCTATCTGAGCATTTAAAGTTGTCAGTTTGTGTCATATGTCATATATGTTTCGTAAATTTGAGTATGGCATAGTTTTGCATTGTGTTGCTTTTTGAAGACATTATCACACTGGCAATGACTGAATATAAGTAGCCACTAATACTTGTATTGTTTATAATTCACCTGTAATCATATCATTCATAGTGGGGATGATTCTTTTATAAACATCTTTATATTAACCACAATCAGTTTACTTTAAAACTTCAATTAATAGCCCGGGCATTTATTTGCTTAAATCACTGAACTCCCCCTGCCTATATTTGGGACAGGTGTCTATACTGGACAAGTCTTTAATTCCTTAACCATGCCGGTAATTCTGAATGAATAATAGTTTGGTGTTCGTTGTAACTGTAACATAAACTAAACGATTGAATTGTGGAGAATCTAATGGATCTATGTCTATAGCATGTCCATATTGACAGAAGTTTAAACATATTAATATGCAGTCTAAGCAGCTTAGAACTAGCACAATCAGGCGACCTGGTGGGTTTAAAGAGGTATTATCCACCCAAAGAACTTAAAAACTGGACCAGGCTTCTAATTGAGACCTGCATTTATTTGTCAAAATGTGTAGCCACACCAGGCCCGTAAAAGGGACTAGCTGTAATTGAAGTTTTACAGTATTCTTTTGTGGCACATATTAAATTATTTAGAAATAACATATGCCTCGGATATATCCAACCTTCTGCTCAAGAACCAAGTTTCACAAAATATAAAAGAAAAACATACACCAACTTTTCTTCTTGAAGTGTGTTTATTAAAGGGTATTCAAATGTCATTTGTGTTTTTCAAGTTTCAAAATACATCAAAACTAGACAGGTGGCTGTGAATGATCACATAGGAACAGCATGGGTCTTATCAATCTGAAAGGATTACAAATCCCTTTTATGTCAATAACTGAACCTGATATGGGGAAACTGTATTACAGGCAAGTATCCTTGATGCTGTAAGTCCAAATCCAGTTTACAACAGTGCATGCCATCCCCTCCGAACAGTGTATGTTATCTCATAAAAGAAACATATTGAGATGTTAGAACTGCAAAGGATAACTTATACTGCTGTCATCAAATAGAAACAAAAGATAACTTCAACTCCTAGGCATTAGTCAACGATGCACTCTAGTGCTAGCTAGAGTGACGGAATAACTGGTACAAATGCAGCAGCTTTAGCCATATTAATAAGTTTTCTGCTTTGTCAAAAGCAAGTTGT